AAAATTAACCACTTTCAAGGCTTATATCTCAACAACTGCTAACTCAATTTGTTTCATTCAAAGTATAGCTGAGATATACTTATCTAGAACTTAATTTTAGTGTTTTTTAGTTGACTGTGCATGTACTCTATAAAAAAGTTGAAAATGACCTTTTTTGTATTCTTCTCTGCTTTTACTTGTTTTTGAAAGGATTTCAATACTTTATAGAGTGTTGTATTCATAAAATGCTAGACTACAAGTACCAATTTACAGAGTGTAATATTATTGTGTTTTAGGGAAGTTATATATATTTTTTCACCTGTGCAATACTTTTGTTATATACTGTAACAATGAAAGGATATTAGGATGCTCCAGTCTGCTCCAGGCCTTAATTTCACACTTAAAGACCTGTAAAGTAAACTTAATTTCGGACATCTGTAGAGAACTTACTCTAGTTGTGTCTAGCTGTCCACTCAAATACATTCTCAACTGCTTAATAGTAACATAAGTTATTGTACTACCTAGCTGATTATATTGACCCTTGAAAACATTGCCAAATCCACCTTGAGCAATAGGATATTTTGAATTGTATTGTACAGATCCAGTAAGATCAAGATGCTTCAGCTTCCTAAGCACACCATCCACGTCAACACGAATGCTGGATTTGTGAGCTGACTCTATAGTAGCATAACTTGTAAGAGGCACAGTCCAGATTATTAATCAATGTGTCAAACTGAAGCCTATAATTAGATCTGGGAACATTCAAGTGTTTCCTTAAACAGTCTTGGTCGATCTTTACTTCTTGTGGGAGTTAACTTAATCTTGCTTATGAAGGAGGACACCTCTCAGAGAGTAGTGTACATAAGAGAACACAAAAGGAAACAATTTCTAAAACAAGATACTCTTTAATCACGTGCTATAATTGTATGCACATATATCATAATTATCATATTATATGCACATGTTGTCTATGTTAAAGCTTGGATAAACAGGAGTGCAGACTTGTTTGGACCAAGTGACAAGAAGCAGCCCAAGGAAGAGACAAGGGGGCAAGGGTAAATAGCACCTACTAGTAATAGTGAAAGAGATTTATTACACATAGATTCAACAGTCTAGAACCTGAAGTAGTTTGAGTGTGTATGCCTCAAAATATTTTCTAGGCAGAAATAATATTGGACGTACAGGGCATGTTCATATATTGGTACCAGACCCTGTCATATTCTGTCAGGACGTATGTTCTTGTCGACATCCAAATAAGTTTAATAACAGACGTTTCCCTCTCTCTCGTTTACCAATTCCAATCCACTGTATCCTCTCTGCATACCTCTATATACAGTTCATAGCCTCAATCCGTAACGAAAAAAAAAGAACGAACGAACGAAAGTCAATGAAAGACATAACATAAAGAAAAACCTAATGCAGAAAAGAAAACCATCTCAAAACATGCAGCAAAGACGGAATAAAATGATACGATAATAAAGGAGGCTCGGAACTTAGAAACGAGCGCTTGACCAAAAAGAACGTCGATAAAAAAGGAAGAGAAAATAGATAACTAAGTAGATGATCATCCGCGCACGTCAGCCAAACTAAAAGCCGTTGAAAGGTAATGTCCCGGGTATATCTAACGAAGCCAAGCCCAACAGACAAAAAGCGAAGCGAACGTAATAAAGCTCAGTAGCTAGTCAAGCCGGGTTTAAACATAGCAAAACGAGTAAGCAATGAACCAAATGCAAAAGGGGGTCATGTAATTGTAGAAAGGCGAATGACGTATGACTTGAGGATATAATAGAAATGAAGAACGTAGAATGCAAAATGAATACTTAATAAACTAACTAAGCGAAACTACGATGAATACGAAATTACGAAAGGACTGTCCCCTCAGAATCAGTACTGGTCCGCCGATGGATACGCTCTTCGATAGCCTTGCATTGCGAGAGGAGGTCCATGATGAACGAACGGTCGCATGCAGAAAGAATGAAAGGTGTCTAAGGATTCAGCGCAAAGAATAAGCCCTAGTTCAAACGACCAGCCACTGGCGTCACCAAGAAAAGCAAGACTTACCGTTAACAGGTCATGAGCGCTCGGCCTCTCACTCGGAGGGTTCGAGCACAAATTCAAAAAATCATGGAACGAGCGTGAAAATTCAGTAGCTTTCGATAACATCGGCCAGCGTTCGGGAAGGTCTTTGATATCGTCGACCTCGATGTGCATAAAGGGCGGCTCGGCCTCTGCCATTTCCCATACCGTTGCACCTGCAGACCAGATGTCGACTTTCTGTGCATCGTATGGACTGCTGCGCATCTCAGGTGCCTACATGGTGAATATGTTATTAGCATGAGGATACGTAGAATAGGAAAGGGAAAGGAACAGACGAACCTGCCAATAGATCACTCCTGCTGGCTCTTTATACGTTGGATAAGCTGGGTCCACGAGGAGTGCGTTCGAGAAATCAGCTGTACATGACAAGACCTCGTCAGCACCTAGGTCATGATCCTGTTATTGGAATCACATACCAAGTTTGAGTACGCCCTGACTATTGACCAGCAGGTTATCAGAGCGCACATCCCGATGCACGATACCTAGAGTTTCTAAATGTACCAACGCACTCAGAATCTAAACCAAAATCATCAGCATCCACTTCCTCAGCAACTTGCTAAATAACAAGGCGTATACTCACATCAGTAGCAAATCTCGCAAACACCCTCTCCTCCAAAACAAGCCCCTCTTCCACAAGCCCAAGGACGTCAGCAAGGCTGCGCTCCATAAGCTCCATCTCAATCCACAGCGCATCCTCCACAAGGTCAACAAATAGCGCGTCCATAGACAAGATATGTTCATGCGATACGCGCGACATCAACATCAGCTCTTTCCTCATCTCTTCCAATTTCGGCGAACCACCCGGAAGCAGAGGGACTTGCTTTATCGCTACTTTGCCAGACTCGTTCTTGGATATGTGAGCGGTGGACGATTTTAATTTTGACTTGGAAGGAGGAGAGGGAACGATGGAAGCCGAGAAGACTGAGCCTGACTCGCCCTCTGCAATTTCTTGCAAGTCTGTGAAAAGTTCGCGCGGATCGAACGAGTGGTCGATGAACTCTTCGAGTGGCGCGACGACCTCCGACACCCAACCGCGGTACCTTTGCAATGGTGACGGCGAGGGTGTAGCGCTTGCTGAAGTAGAAGCCGATGAGGAAGACGAGGATGAAGGGCCAGCCGACGCAGGTGAAAGATGCTGAACAAGTTGTTTCTGTGCTGCATCCCCACCAACATTAAGAGTCGAGATTCCATTAATCTGCAACGACGGTCTTCTCGGTGACTCCGTTGCAGCATCAGGGTGGAGATGTGGTCGCGGAGACCGTTCACCAAGGTAATTATATAGCGTCCCAGAGTCGCGAATCGGTTTATTATGCAGCTCATACTGTGGAGAAGGCGTATCCACCAACCAATCAACCATGGGCGAAGTTCCGTCCCTTTCCTCAATACCATCCTGCTCGCAACACAAGTCTTCCCTACCCGAGCCATCGTCATTATCATTGTCCGCTTCGGACGTGTAAATACGAGGGGCGATGTCAATATGTGCCGTCGGACTCAGTTTCTTCTCTTCCGTATCCCATTTTGTAGTATCAACTCCCGACTCTGCTGATTCTGTTGGTGAAAGAACGCCTACTTCACCCTCCGACTCAGTATATCGCAGCTGTACGTGAACGGCTCCGTTTAAGCGCGTGTTGCCATCGTGTTCTTCAGCACCTTCATCCGAACCGGATCTAATCGACAGTGGATTGACTTGTGAGGACGAAGACGACGACGATCCGGATCCCGAACTCGACTGAGATGACCGAGTCGAAGCGGGACTCGACAATCTATTGACGGGAGAAGGGTCCTCAACCGTATACGGAAGCCTCACATCACTCTCTGTAGATCTAACGGAGAACTTCGCAGACATCGGTGAAGGTTGCAAAGAACCGCCGCCAAAAATAGCATTGCCAGGCGAAGGTGGAGGGAGCGGGAAATCTGACGCAGACGGTGCCGGTACACCATCGCTACTCGTCATACTCATCGGTCTACTCCAATCTTCATTTCCACTCCCCGAACTGGAAGTCTGAACCGTACTGGCACTTAATTGTGGTTTGTGCTTCGACGGAGGTGCGGGAGCGGGTACAGTCATCGCATTCGCCACGCTCCCTTTCCGCATATGCGCAACTCCAATCGTTGCATCGCGTACATCTCGTACCGTCGTCGCTCGACTCCAACGACTACTGGCAGAAATCGTTGCCTGTGAATCGCGGCTACCCGTACTTGACGTGAGCGTCGAATTGCGATGCGGATCATGGCTTTGTTTGAGAAACTCATACGTTGCATTAGGCGACTGCGAAGGACTAGCCTGAGCATGAGATTGTTGTGATGAATGACCTTGTGATGAATGGCCAGGTGTTGAAGGGGGTGGAGGACTTGGGAGATAGGGATACGTCGATGTTAGTGGAGGCGAAGTAGTCGGAGTGGTAGAATTGGGAGGTTTCACGAGGGAGAGCACCTCGTTGAAAAGAGGTGTGGAGGTGCCAGCACCGCGTTCTAAGCTCTCGTGATCAACAGACTCTGCTTCTACGATCTCATCTTCGTCAGTCTCTATAGTCACTCGGGGAACCTCGTTCGACGGTCGGGACAAGACAAGAGGAGGGACAGGTGCCTTTCTTGTCTTTGGTGACGTAGCCTTTGCTGGGACGATGGGGGAAGTAGAATCAACGGAAGCAGTAGTAGAAGCAGAAGCCGTCGTCGCGGTGTCAGATGAATTCGAGAAGGATCCAAGTCCCGCATCTGGAGTGTGCATAGCCGAGAAAAGTGATGCTGTCCAGCTACTGAGATCGTCTTGGTGGAGTGAGAGGCGAGGAGGGGAAGAGGCGGTTCGCGTGAGGGGTGATTCGGGAGGTGATGGTGATAAGGATTCATCGCAAGATGGAGTCGTTAAATGTAATCTAATCGGAGCGGACGAAGAGTGTGTCCCATTTGGCAATTGCGCTACCCTGTCAGAATGGATATCACGTCCTAAAGGCGTAGCGTTGCTATCGTTCTCCCTCAGAAGTACTTCCGGTGTGAGCGTTTCCTCTGAACGCCTCTCAGGATGCAACTGTACATCCGAACCACTCGCGCGTCTCGGGCTGGGCTCTGCGGTCGGATCCTGTTTCTCGTCGCGAGGGAATGTGTATGTATGCACACTATTAGGCTCAGACACGTCATATGCAGGAGGTGGAGATGGCGGGGTCGAGGTCGGGTTCGTCACACGGAATGTCGATGCTGTCCCCGTTCGACTTGGCGGTGTACGAACTCGCACAGAAGGCGGGGGATCACCATTCAGACTGTCTATCCGGGGCAACACACGTGGAACGACGGAGGTAGGTGCGGCGGAAATCCCGAACCGCGAGGCTGTGGCAGTGCCGGGATCAGAATAGTCATCGTCTCCGTCAACATATACCGAAGGGGCACGCGATGAGACGGACGAATCGGACGGCTGGTTTGCAGAGTGGAAACCATAGCTTGAAGGTGGAGAAGTCGAATCAGGAGAAAGACTGCTGCCGAAACTTCTTCCCGATGTTGATAGAGATGCACTGTCGCTGGCTCCCGTTGTTGGTCGCCGAAGCGAAGTAGAGCGTGTTGGCAAGGCATTCGCTGGTAGTGGTGAAAGCGAGCTAGGCGATGTAGAAGTCGACGAGGTTGTGTATGGAGATTGAGAACGCGCACGAATCACGTCTGGGGAGACGTCTGGATGATTGTGCAGGTAGGTTGTACGGTTGCGTCGTGAGTGTATTGAGAGAACGTCCGTATCTTTAAACCCTTCAGCGCGAAGCTGATCCATCCATGCGGGAGGCAGATTTGCTAGCCTAGACTGTCCGTTAGCATTCTGTCTATTCATCAATGTGGATTGTCGTCTTACCCTTCATCAACGTGTAAATGATGCTGCAGCGCGTGTACAAGAATCAATTGGACTGATGATATGGATGGAAAGGTCAGTGCACGCGTACCTGAACATTCCACGGCGTCGATACCTCCCCCCCACCATCCGAATCACTCGTCATCCCATCGTGCGAAGCTCGCGCAGAGTCGGCACTCAACGTCGTCCGCGACAAATTCGAGCGCAAAAACAATCTCGACTTTTTGCCCAAGGAGCTCGAAAGCTTCGAAATTCCTCTTCGAAGCGAACTCATCTCGCTCGCCTGAGAATGGATCGAAGGCGCTGCTGACGACATCGCAGTCGTCGTCCGACTTCTCACCGAAACCGGCGACATTGTGCGTGACAAATCGCACTGTGAACGCGCTGCGGTAGCGTTACTGATGGAGCTGAGCGGAGTCTGCGGGAGCTGGAGGGTCTCGACGGACATGCTGGCGATGGATGCCGAGCCATGTAATGAAAGTGCGTGCGAAGGGTTAAGGGACACAGCGGATTTTGAGGCAATTGAGCCTTGCTTATACCAGGGATCCTTCTCCACTGGCGGGGGCGGCTTAGTGGAGAATTTGCCGAACATGTTCAGGCTTGAAAGACGGGACGAGAGCTTCGGCTGGCCGCTCATTGCGCGACGGCGGATATTATCGACCAGCGACGGGGAATGAGTGCGGCAGCGTCGGTGACAGGGCGGACGACGACGACGGGAGGGGAACAGAGAGGGCAAGACGAGGAGAAACGACGAGGCAAAGAGGGTAGACTGGCTCTAAGGCCAAAACGCACCTTTCCATATCAGGCGTATTTTTTCGGAAATTTCCCATTCCAAAAATTCACTGCCCTGTTTTGTGCCCAACAGAACCCAGAGTTCTAGACTCGGGCCGTCTGATTTCTACTTATGTAACGCGCATATATGTACATATGTCAAGCAGGTCGACGGCTCCATTCTACACTCTACACTAACCTGCATCCTGCCCGAGCTTCGGGGGTTTCATCCTTCACAGCGTGTCTTGAGCGCGTCGGCGAACGCTCCAAACGCCTCTCTCAACTTTCGGCCCAACACCCACTTGACAATGTAGGCTAGCACGCCATCAAATGCCTCCCACGTTTCATACCGCGTTCTGCCATTACTCGCAGTGCTCGCAGTCAACGTCTGCCAACGCTGTGCGCGCATCGCCCACGACGGATAGTCAATATTTACCCAGGAGAGTCGGTGATTCTGATGGTCGACGACAACGATGCGCTCGAACGGCTTGGTCGTCATTGGTAGGATGAAACAGGTCATCAGCAGGAATTTGTCCTGCATCAGCACCTGATCCTGCTCCTTCCGTTTCGACGCGTCAACAACAATCATCTGCCGTCTGTGTTCCCAAAGAATAAAAACAAAAGCAGGAGTCAAGTCCCTTCTCAGACGCGAATTTTACAAAACCAAGCAAGACAGAAATTCCCATATTCGGAAAGGTATAGCAAACAGGAAATCGGTAGGCACACGAAGAAAATGCGGATAAAAATACTCACACGAATGGATTTCTGTCATTTGTCAAGAAAAAGAAGCAGTCAGTCACACACTTCAATCGTCGTTATACGCATTCTCCTAGATACGCGAAACTCAGAGTAAAATAAAATTAACGCACCACTCATGATAATGAGGAACATCCGTCAGGGTATCCCAAACTCTTTCAACAGGTGCGTCAATTTCGCGCGTCACTCGCACATGGAACACGCTCTTCCTAAGTTCCTCTTCCGACGGTGCCGCGCTTGTCCTCATTGATCAGTCCTTGGCAAAGCTCTTTCCGCTCGCGTCTCGCTCTCGTTCTTTACTCTTGCTCTTTTATCTTGTCTAGGAACGCAGCTCTTTGGTTTGCTTGTGCTTTTCTTGGTGGTGGCAGTGGCGATAGCGGGGTGTGAGAATCCAGCGTATGCACAACGCCATCTTTCTTCATAACTACTCGGGTACGTTTATGCCGGGTCTCGGCAACCATTGAGACGCACCGCTTCGTTCCCCTATTCTCAGGACAACGACCTTCTTCTACATTACACGACAGTCGGATAGGATCTCCTCGAAGACAATAAAGGTTACTCGAGTTTTTTTCATGAAAGAGTCGGGTGAATAATTCACGCAACTATATGCAGATTGAGTATGTATATTTATGACACAGGCTTCTTGATTTCTCTTTGACATCCGAGAAAACCGAGCAAACGTTCGAGAGCATGCCTTTGATCCAGTTCAAGCGAAATGAAAGTTCGCTGCGTGGTTCGGTGGTCTAATAGTCTAGAACAATACGACTCGCTCGCCTTCTTGAATTCTCACTCCTCTAACCCGTAAAGCACATTCAGCAGCAGTCAGCAGATTCAGACCGGCCCGGGATCAGTAAACCTTAAAAGCTGTTTCCAGTTGAGAGTTCCTTGCATTGCCAGATACCGATATCAGAGGTGTGTTGATGATAAATTGTCGAGGTCTTCTCTTTGATCAATCAACGCAGAACGCAGTCCTTGACCTCAAAAGAACCCAAACAAGCCAGGATAGAGTAACGTATATACTCAAATATCACAAATTTACTGAAATACATTATTTGAATCTAACAGCAACAATTATCAAAACAGGATGACTGTTTGTACATTCGTTCAACAACTTGTCGACTCCGGTGGCGTATAAATCTCCGTCGTTTTTCCTCTATTGAGCACATAACTAGGGTGGCTAGTGCCAATCCTCTGGCATTCAATCCTTACAATCTTTTTCTTTTCTGCATCTAACGTTATAGTCTTTGTGTACAGATTCTCATCGTTAGGGAGAACAATGGTTATCCTTGGCCGCTCCTCAGCAAGATTGATATCTTCGTTCCTTTGCGCAAAGGCCTTGCGTAATTCTTGCTGACCGTTGAAACCAACCAGAACAAGATATCTTAAGTCAATAGTATACTGTGGCAGAAGGTAATATCAGCTACACATTACTTCCAACAAGTTATCTTCAGTAAATTGAGGGCATACCTGTTTGTTTTGCCGACTAGGAGATGTAGTGCTGAGAGACGCACGTGGATGCTTTATAGGACCTTTGGGATGCCAAAATTGTCTGTTCACCTCATCATATTCGATTGTGCCACTGAAACAAACTTTGCCAATGTTCTTTTCTTCATATTCAATTGTTATTTGCATCACCAAATCGAACACGAAAATGTATTGGAATTTACTGCTAAGACATATATTTTTTACATATTGTGGATCCTTATATTTGCTTATAAAGTCTACATGTAAATATATTGCCTTGTCAGACTCTGCATGTTTTGGTGATGTGGTACATGGAGACTGTATGCTTGGGTTTGGGTTTGTGCTTCACTTTGGATTTGGTCTGGGATTTGATTTGCCTATAGGTAGTGGTGAGAGCAGCAGTACTAGTAAGAGTGTTCCTTTGTATGCCACAGTCCAACCTAGCTTTATCTGCATCAATTATTCTTAGACCAGCTTACAATCCATTTTGCACATTGCACATACTAGATACTTCTCATTTTTACATCAATGATTACTATGATGCTAATCAACAATGTGGCAACACTAACAATGATTCAATGTTTGTTTCTTAGATACATTGCTGACTAGTACTCATTAGGTTAACTCAATTATGGAAAAGGGTAAGACATTGCTTGAGAAAGTTGCACAACAGATTATTATTATTACTTGATATTATACAAAAGTAACTTCAGTGCTATATAACAGACATACCTTGTAGACCACTCTATTTTAGACATAGTTTAATCTCTAGGTTATTATATAACATTACTACTCATAAAAATACTTTAGTCCATGTTGAATTCATCTGAACATTGTAATAGAACAAATCACTACTCTTTATGTGAAGCATCATCAACTGCTGGTATTGTCACCTTAGCCTGCTGATAAATCTCCGTCGTCAGCCCTTTCTCCGACTTATCAAAGAGCTCATGATGATGATGAGTTTGTGTGCTGATCCATTCACATACAATCTCTACTGTCTTTTTCCCTTCCTTATCCAATGTAATAGTTTTTCTGTATGTCTTCATTGCTTCGTCAGGAAGGACAACAGTGATTCTCGGACGTTCGTCTTCAAGATTAATATCTTCATCGTTTTGTGCAAAGTTCTTTGTTAGTTCACCCTGTTTCTGACCATTGAAGCCAACAATGGAGAGACATTTTAGGTCAATAGTATTCTGTGGTACGGGTGGAATCAATCATAAGTTACTTTCACTGGGTTGGCCAAAGTAGATCGAATACACACTTTTCCGTCCTTTTTTCCAGGAGATATAACATTGAGGAATGCACATGCGTTTTTCGTAGGTCCCTTGGCATGGTAAAATAGTTCATCCTTTCCATTATATTGAATCTCACCACTGAATGTTACCTCGTCGACGGCTTTCTCTTTATACGTAACTACTAATTGGTACTTGGAGACTTTAAATTCTGTTTTGTGTTTGTACTTGGCCTTGGTTTGAGACTTGTGAGTATCATCAGCATTAGATGCAGTGTCTTTATTTCTGGATGAGAATGCCTTGTGAACACTCTTCATCGTTTGATTTACGTGGTAGGCAGAGGGCGGTGGGAGAGATAGGAGTATTTCTTTGCATGCTGTAGAGCAACCTATCTTTATCTGTAGAGATATACCATATAGCAAGTTCCCGATTGGTTCGAAGCATTGTATATTGCACCTTTTCTCAACAAATACCAAAATTTGCAAGCTGTAATGTGGCAACATGGCAATGTTGCAAAACAATACATGTCTCTCGATATTATTAGTAACATGTGTTCGTTAGCTTGGCTTGGCACAGCAATGGAAGACAAAGTATGAGTTGGTAACTTTTGTTAATCATTTGGAGCTTGCTTTTGAGCAAGCGCAGATTACCATATCAGGAAAATTTCACCTGAAACAATGATTGCCATCCATGTCCACACTCTTACTCTGTCAACATCTATTGAGTTTCTGATACATATATGCAGAGCCGTAAAATTACTCTGGTCATTCTTTTTTCCGTCGAGGTAAAATAATCGCTGCGGTTTTTTGCCTTTTACCTAGTACATCCTGCTTCTAGCCAGCACAGCTCCTTTCATCATCCCAAATCTCTGCAAGCAAATGCAACCCGCCCATGCTTTTACTTACACTATGCTTATGTTCATCTCTTCGGATACATTAGAGTCGCATACTCTGACCCCAGTTCTCGGTTGGGTTTCGGATACACTTAAGTAAAGTACAGTGGGCGAGATGGAGATTAGCAGGCTTGAAACCTGAGGCATATTTGCATGACTATGAATACTCTTCAACTTCGAGTTCAGGTTCGGGTTCAAGAAAAATCAAGAAGAACCCTAAAATCAATTCTCTCTGCTCCTCTGGCTCAGTGCTAAATGTTATTAATAGGATTCAAAGTATCAGTGTCAGATGTCTTATGAATTTTATTTAATAGTCATACTGCAACTTATGTATATGTAATTTAATTTAGCAGGTATCAAAATTCTTTATTTTTATCTAATCAAAGCCACAAATTGTACTCACATGAGATAGTGATTATAATAATAATATTTTAGAATGTAATATGAACAGTGTAAAAGTCAGCAGATTCATGCTGGAATCATTCCTGTAAGATGCTCATAAATCTCTGTTGTCGGTCCCTCTGTGCCATGATGACTGTCATGAGTTTCCATCCATTGGCATTTGATGTGTACTATTTTCGTCTTTTCCTTGCCAATTGTTGCAGTACTCTCATACACCTTTGTTGCTTGTGTAGGAAGGATAATGCGAATCCTTGGGCGCTCTAAATCCTGTGTTTCACTCTTTGAAAATTCCTTTCGAAGTGGCTTTGAATGTGTTGAGCCATTAAATCCGAGCATCACTAAGTGTTGGAGATTAACAATGTTCTGTGTAGAGTGCATACAGTATATGCACATGAATCATTAAGAATGAGTTCTGTTTCATTTCTATAAATAAGTCTCAAGCAAGTTTACGTACTGTGTTGTTGTTATCAACCGTGAGGGACGCACAAGATCGCTCTGATGGCCTAAGAGGAGAACAGAACTGCCTGGACTTTTCATTGTATTGGATTCTGCCACTGAAAGTCATTTCCCCACCATCCTTCTCTTGGTATTTAATTGTTATATGGTACTTGCCAATTTTAGGCTTGAGGTCGAGTTTGCGTTTGGGGCGAGATTTGTGCTTTTCATCAGCCCCGGATGCAGCAGGTGCTGCTTGCTTACTACTCTTATGAGTGGCTGACGACCCTTGGAGGCGTCTCATTGCTTGACTTGCTTGCTGAGAAGTGAGTAGTAGGGGATGGCACGTTAAATTGCATGTTGTAGTGCCACAGGGCCGGATTTATTCTGTGTAATACACAACTGTGTCATTGTCTTGATCAGACAAATGCTGAAACAGGCCAGTTTTGCAATGTGGCAATACCCTGCTGTTCCAATTTTGGAGTATATTGATACTGGATGAGCCAACATGACTAAGCGGATGGCAAGTTGAGTATACATTGCACTATGGAGTCGGATGGTCCTAGTACTGGAAAGAGAACTACTTACATAATATGCAAAGATAAGTATCTGGGTGCTTGTGCCACATATTCATCCTTGAAGAAGCTCCAGGGTTCTGAATCGGGCTTGCTGTATACACATTCTTGACTGTCCCTGTTCTTTGACCGCATCAATGGGCCCCTAATTGCGGACCTCTACACGTCAACTCAATATTCGACGCACAGGATATACCTGAATGCCTTGTACACACTACGTAAATGAACCTGAGACACTCACTGAAGAGTATGCAATGATACGTCGATCTCCGCAAAGTCGAGATTATGCAGCTTTCGGAAGGAGGAGAATCTGCGATGCTATATAGGGTTTGTTGTTCCAACGAGGGTTATGAATAACATATGTTTCCATAGCAGGAAGTCGTACGATGAGCACAACCTTAGAACGCCGATCACAACGATCGTCATAGCCACACGCTTCTGTGTTCACATCTCCGAGGAGGACACCCTCTTTCCCATCGAGACGAAAATGATTACTTTTTACCAACGCGTTCCGCTCCTAACGAGTTCGTCCTATTCCATCATCCTAAAGCTCATCGGCACGAATGCAAAGTTCAAACGATCATATAAGATATGAAAAACTCGCTTACATCTTAGAAAACACAACCTCCCATGCACGTCACCTCCCCGTCTCTTCCTCTCATGCTTTTGCGTACCCTACACTCGCGCTGTTCGTCTCTTTGGATTCGTTGGAATCGCATTGTCTGAACCTGGGCTCTGGTTGGATTTTCGGATATAGCGAAGCGAAGTATGGTTGGTGGAGGTGGAGACTAACAGGATTGAAATCTGAGGGGTACTTGCATGATTATGACTACTCTTCCACTCTGGATTCGGACACAGGATCAAGCAAAATAAATGTGAACAAGAATCCAAGACGGAATTTTATAAAAGAGAAACTCACATCCGTCTTGTTTCGCTTTGGTCATGACGCGAGTCAACTGGATGACGCATGGATGTTGACTATGCCAAGCTATCTAGGCATAGAAGGGATCAATCCGCTCACCGTATTTTACTGTTACAAGAAGCCAGGTGAAATCATGTCAGATTGTGTAACTCGTCTTTGGATTGTCGTTCTTGAGGTACGTTCAAAGTATCAAGATCTTTTCAAGCACAATACATTGAACTTGCGAGTTTTGATTTTACTTTCTTTAAGGTGCATAATACATTTGGAGAGCGACACGTCTATGTTCTCCAAACAGGCTCACAACATGAAGATAAAGCAACTGCTCCAGGGTTCACGCACTCCTGGACGTTTCCACGTCAATTCCACGTTTCACCCTTCAACGATCGTTCAGGATACTATACTTGCTCGATTACCGCGCCTCCTCACCCTCCGCCTTCTCTTTCTTCATCAACGGCGACGCTGGCTCTCAACAAGACGAACTTAAGCGACTCCCCTATTGCACTCCCGAGAATCCGGATTCAGCTGTATACACCGGACAAGAAACTCAAACTCACAGCTTCGCTACGTTCGACATCTGCAGTTCCACTTACGACACCGACTTTGTTAGCGACGTTGGTCCGATATCCAATTACGCTATTTCTTTCCTTCCCGCGAATCGCGTGGCAGGCGTTTCATTTACACTATCGCCGTAGGCTTGACGTGTATGCACGACCTGAGCCGCGTTCCATTGACCCGTTGCTGGAAGGAGCCTTCGTTGGTCACGAAATCGATGGAACCAGTCCGAGTACTACTCAACACGGGATGGAGCTGGGTACTAAGGGGCTTCTGCTACGTAACGAAGTTCAGCAGAATGAAGATGGGTTTGGTATCGGCGGTGGGGTTGGGTGGCAACCCGAAGGCATTTTAGAACGTTATGCACGGATGAGGATAGAACACCTCCTCGAACTCCGTTCCCGAGAAACAGGCATCCGTGTCCGTCTTCTCTCGTCAAATCCAGCTATCAAGCCTAGGCAATTCTTTCCTGACCCTGGAATCCCAAAAGTTGTCGAAACACCCTCTCACGATCGCGAACTTAGAGCATTACTAGTTGTAAATGGAGAGTCCAAACTACAACCACTCACAACGACAGAGCTGACCATTGCCACCCGCTCCTCACGTGCTTTCCTCCTTATGCTCACCAGCCCGTCACCCGCTCATTCCCTCCTTCTCGTGAGAGATACGGAAGGCTTACTCAGTGTCTCTGACGAACATCTCTTTCTCGCCGTTTTCTCTCCGTTGGTTGGGAGCACGAATGACTCGGCATTGGTGCAAAGGTTCTTGCAGCGACTTCGGATAAGCCCTATTCCTCGTTCTCTTGTTCCTCTTTCGGTGAACAAAGACAAGCCTGGGAGAAAGGACCAGTTAAACATTCCGGCAGTCAACCCACTTGACGTTGGCCTATCAGCGCTGCAATACTTTCAAACTCTTGTGGTGATTTCGGCCTTTCTTACACTTGCGCACCTCGAGAAGATCATTTTTACCATCACTGGAGCGAGGTTTGTTAGAGGGACAGAGCCTTGGGGTGGGTGGCAGCGTGCTGTGAATATTTGGTTAGCTCAGTTTCCAACGGGAGAAGTGGAGGGGGAAGACACTTAGGCTGCTTATTTTTAACAGCTTGTGTATTGATTGATTAATAGGTAGAAATAATAAACAGATGACTTACCCTTAGAAAAACATAGTAGTATACATGATAAGTCTCCTTGATTCACAAATTGTATCCAAGACAGAATCACTGATGTGACAAGTCAGGTAATACATTGTGAGTTTAGAGACTTTAAATGCGTTTGTCTACATCTTCCTGTTGTACACATTCATGAAGCATTGTCCAATAATACCCAGACACCATTGGTAAAAGTATAACGTTATTAACCAGTACTGTGCATGCAGTTAATAAAAAGAGAGCCATCTCTGTCATAGTCCCCTAAGAATATGCCACCAATTGGTGCAAATAGTGGCTGCTTGTTATGATAAGTGGTTGTTACATATGCTAGTCTTTTGAGTTAACATACTGAGTCCTTGCATGGATAAATCGGGGATATCCTGTCTTGCAATATAGCCACATGTGGCTCCAGTGTATTAATATAGGAAACAACCTCTGCCATTGTTGGCCATTGTTGTGGTTCAAAGTTCCAGTAGCTCAAACAATTGGTCCAGAGCTGATTTCCGTATTGTTCCGGGAGGACTAATGGTGGAAAAGGGAGCGATCTCCGTATTATTGCAAGCACAACTTGCCCATCATGTTTGAGGTGTGCATATGGATGCTCCCCTGACAAAATTTCCTGATAGTGTATATGTAAATATAACACTATATAATATCAACAATGAAAACCTACTAATAAGGTCATCACAAACGACCAGACGTCCGACTCCTTTGTAACTGTTTGATCTGGCTCTGAGCTGGCAAGGAGTTTGTAAGCTAGTGACATCACCAAATCGAACACAAAAATGTATTGGAATTTACTGCTAAGACATATATTTTTTACATATTGTGGATCCTTATATTCGCTTATAAAGTCTACATGTAAATATATTGCCTTGTCAGACTCTGCACGTTTTGGTGATGCTAACCATCTGCCATCTGGTGCCGCCTCTAAGCCCTGTGGCTGTACTCGATATTCTGGTCATCTGGGCTTCGTGGAAGACGTGAGCGGCTCCGAAATCGCTAACGAGTGCCTCATGACCTGGAGAAATGAGAACATTGCCTAGTGAATCGTGAGTAATGTAAGGCGTGTTTGGTCCTTGACAAACATACGGATTTGAAATCCGAGTGTACAATATTGTTTGCGTGAAGATACGCAAGACCTTCCGCCATACTACGAGCCTATTAAAATATGCTGAGGAATATTGATTACGAAAAAGAAAGACATTGCAACGTACTAGCTTTACAATATTACAGGGCCTATTTTTTTGACAAAATCTAGCACATTTCCATTATCCATCCAGGATGAAACTAATGAAGGTAAGCGAGGTGATCCATTGCTGGCCTCTTCAAGCATGTACCCTGCCAACGGGAGGATATTGCAGTGGGCCAATCTACTCCATGGCCTAATTTTGCGCTTGAAGACCTGTGGAAGAGGGCAACAATTGGGACTCAGCAGAAATTACAGAACTGCTCATGACCACTGACTTACGCGTACAACATCTCGGCCACCATCCATGTATACTCTCAAGCATTTAATAGTAACAGGGTATAGTGTACTGTCTGGCAGGAGGTAATGACCTCTGTATATGTTGCCATATCCACCTTGTGCAACCGGGCGCTGGGAATCATATTGTACCAAGCCAGTCATGTTGAGATACTGAAGATCAGCAAGTATTTGGTCAACCTCGTTGTGCAAGCGCCAATTAGTTTGCTGATCTGAGCTCATGACAGTATAGTCGAAGGCCTAATCGAGTTGAAGAAAACAATATACCAGGTACATGGAACGATAAGACTATGGGAAAAGTCCTACCAGAAGTAGAATATTAATGTGATCCAAAATTCGGCTGTTTAAACAATTCAATTATTACATCCTTCTTATTACTGTAATATCATACTAATATGGCTTACTAACCTAAGATAATTGAGATAATGTACAACGAGTCTATGTATGTTGTACATTTGTGTGCAAGAAGAACACACAGGCAAAGGCTGTATGTGGCTATGTCACGTTCAAGTTGTAAATAGCAGGCCTTTCAGAAACGGACGTATAAGTAAACGCGCCTCTTGTTTCTTTGCACGCTTTTCGATAATCAAAATTCATGTCAGCGTCCCAACCTCCCTTCAATCTCGCCTTGCATTCTCTGAGCTCCTTGGACATCCAGTGCATCTGGTCCTTAGTCAGCTCGTCTTTCTCTTCCACCCTGAATTTAGGTCTTGGTTTGATTTTCTGTCATAGGATATTGCAATTCTCTACTAGTTTGGCATGGTTGCCAGTTGGAGTCTTGGAAATGGAAATTATTATTGATGGGATTGGGGTTTGATGCATAAGTACTCAAACAAAATGAAGCCGAATCAGAAAAGAAGATAGTGCAGTACAAGAAGAGGACTCAACGTAAGTATACCGATCCTGCTTTGGACCTGGGCCATGATTTTATGTTTCTCTTATGTAATCTGCATCATGATGGACCACACGAAAACGTACCACAACACTAATTTTTTTAGGGCTTCTGTCAACTCTTGTCCCCATGCCACAGTGCACATTGGCCTCCATCCTCAATATCGAACGTGCGGTTTGAGCTGGGCAACTGATTAATTTCCAGCTATTTCCCCGACTCATAGACTTGAGTCTTAACGGACAAACTCAACATGGACGAGAAGGCTGGAACTGTATGACTGTCTTCGATCAACCAGTCTAAGTGGCCCTCCAAATATGTGGTCTGTCAAGTAGCAGGCAATAATACGCTTCGGCTGTGCTTCGCTCTTGAGGCCACGCTTGTCCATGTACGGAAGATTCACATTGCATATATAAGAGGGATCAACTTCGACCTGTGATGATCCATCGCCTCAGCGTAACTCTTCCGCCCTCATCTACTATCGACTGGAACCATACAGCACCACATTTCCTGCGACTTATTCTACATATCCGGATTCCACAGTTAATCCCCTAACCATGTGGTCACAGCAACTTATAGACTTTTGCCGCTTTATGGATTCTGTGCATGATCAGCACCCGCGAGACCCAACTCAAGCACACTTGCTCCACGAAGCCTTCTCGCCAACGTACCGTGGACCATATCTTCGCCATTTATGTAACCCATGCAACTGCAACAATATGATCTGTGCTCTGGCACAGCACATGAGATCCGACAACCTCGAGCCGGCGACCAAATCGGGATGCTCGTTTATTGTTGTGAAAATGGGTCCCTTTCGTGTTATCCTTTACGGGAGAAAAGATGAAATCACTGGAGAATCTGACCCCGTTACTCTATATGAGCTGGTCACTGGCATCCATGAGGAACTGCACAAACCTTTTAAGGTCTTCGAACTCGACGAGAGCACGATTCCCGCAGACACGATCGCTTTGTATGACGAATACCGCGAAATGATACGTCAAACCGATGCTCATTGGCAGTGGAGGACCCGCTCTAAAAGTAGCCGTAGGAAATATCAGACGATCGACTTTCTCCAGCGTGGTATGATTGAACCCGCTGGCGAACCTATGACTGTGAAACCTTCCGAAATGAACCCGCCTATGTTTCACCGTAGCTGCTTCCTCACCCTTGGTTAAAGAAGCACTTATGTACATGTATCTCTATTCTTGTAACTGCAATGTTGTTGTGTGCAATATCAAAGATGAAATCACGGATTGCTTTCACATGTAGATAAATCCAGGTTCTCCTGAAAAGGACGCATACATTAAATTCAAACAGACTAAACTCAGGAAGTCGAGATTTGGACAATGTGGCTCGACTTCAACTCTTTCCTCGAACATATTGTAATGGTTAGTGTACCCTGTTTCAGGGCCGCTTCGATTTGACCCACATACATTCTCATTAGGTGCCATTCGATACGGCCCTTTTTGTCATCTATACTACTAGGCGGAATCATCCTTCTTGCTTCGTCTCACAAACAAGGGATGCTGCAGTAGACGTATGAGAATTTCTAAGGCGAGAGAGTTAATGAAGAAGGAAAGGATATATAGCTGTATTTACCTTATGTAATCAATATGGATGACGCAAAAAATAGACCACAACACCCGTCATTCCCATTCTTGTCTCCATACGCGTCCATTTGCATCTTGAACTTTTGGCTTGAACTGAGTGATTGGTGAATTTCCAATGACACCTCCCTGGCCCATGGTTTTGGTTGAGAAACTTGACACGGAGGAGAAGTCCAGGACTGCATATCTGTCTTCGAATACCCATTACACCACACTGGCCCCACGTAGCTAATGATTAAGATGCTTATCGTTTGGAACCTCCTGACTACTTATGCGGCCTTCAAAACTATGCGGCCTTCAGGACTATGTGGCCTGTCGACTATCGGGCGCTGATACGCTGCAACTGTATCTTGCTCTTTAGGCCACGCTTAACCACGTACTGGAAATCCACACAAAAAATGCGTATATAAGCGGGGTTAATTTCAGTCTTTGACTACCCATCGTCCTCAACGTAACACCCCCGCCTTCGTCAACTATCGACCGTGGCCATATAACGGCAGATTGCCTACGACGTATTCGACGTACTCGTACTCCAGAGCTACCTCCCCGTCCGTCCCGACTTTCGACGATCATACAGCGATATCTATCAGACACCGATGAGCTACCTTCAAACGTACCTGGACACATGTGAATTGGGCATGCGCTCTGAGCGAGCTAAGGTGTTTTGCAGATGGATGGATGCGTGTATCCAGCACCAGGTACTCCCAACTAGCGAACCCATCCTCCATGACGTCTTTACGCCATCATTCCACGGTTCCCGTATTCTAGATCTATGCAACAACCCATGCAACTGCAACAACATGATCTGTGGTTTGGCTTCTATCATGGACGACTCCGATTATTGGAAGCAGCCAGCAAGTAGATTTGGATCTATGCTACTTGGAGTGAAGTATGGTCCCTGTGTTCATTACGTTCACGGGGGTGAATATCCCGTTTCTATATATCGGTTCGTCAATAGCATCCATAGGGAACTACACAAACCTCTTGAAATCTTCGAACTGGACACGACCACACTTCCCCCAGACACGGCCGCTCTATATGACAAATATCGCGAGATGCTATGCCTAACCGATGTTCATTATCAGTGGAGGACGATGGGAGATATGAATAGGAAATATCAGTGGGTCGACCTTATCCACGGCACGACTGGAAGTTCTGGCGTACCTTTGACCCTCAAACTCACTTTTCGATCCCAGAATGTCAACTGCCGCCACTACTTTTTCGCTTAAAGCAGATATATACATGCACAGCTATTCTTGTAATTGAAATGTCATTGTATGCAATATCAAAGACGAAACTCGCCGATTTGTTTCAGGTAGAAAAGACACATACTTTAAATTCGAGCGAGCTAAATCCAGGAGTCAAAATTTGAAGTTGAACGGTGTTCCTCGACTTCAACCTTTTGAGGACATCTTGTGATGCAAGGTTTTTGCTTATAAGGCGAATAAATAACTTGACTTGCATTTCCACAAGAGTTAAAAAGAGGGCATCCAACTCTCCATGGGGGCTGTGCATCTCATTTATAACTTTAGGTAACACACGATTTGTAAAATTAAAAAAAAAATCATCTGGGTCGAATTTAGAGCACGTGCATTGAGCGCATATATAGCAGAAATGTGCTGATCACAATCTATGCGTCTAATCCAAGATAGCTATAAGATAACACATAGCATCCGCACCGCGAAAATCCGAACGAGTCCGTGTATATGTCGTCCAATTGCGTGTAAGAAGAATGTACGAGGCGGAAAGCCGTAAATCGTGTCAAAGAATAACGAATCTCTCGGAAAGGGCGTGTAACGACCCCATTACTTCTCTTCTATGCTGGTCAATAGTCAAAATCACCACCAGCGTCCCAACCGCCTTTATCCCTCACAACTGCTCCGAACTTCCCCTTCGACCTCGCCTTTCGTCCTCCAAGTTCCTTGTACATCTCGCGCATCTCGTTCTTAGTAAGTTTCTCTTTCTCCTCCGCCTCCATTCTCCAAGCTTCCTCGCGTGCCTCTTTCGGCGTGACGTAACCCGAGCCCGGGCGCGATGCGCGTCCCGCACCACCAAAGGAGGATGCAGGTGCGTCGGCGGAGGACATGATGTTTGCAAACGATAGAGAATTGCCGAAGGGCGAGGCGGGTCGAGAGTAACGCGGCGGAGGGGTGTATGTTCCTGCAGAGTCGCGCTCGCGCTGGGAGGCGGTTTGCATGTATGTTATCCGCTGTTGCAAGGTACAAGAAAATTAGTACTGGCATTAAATGTATCAAGCGATTATTTGAACGTACCCAGTTTTGCTTCGACTCTCTACGAGTCCACTTTCCGGGAGGTAGTGTCTCATCTTGGAACGTTTCTCTACGAACGTGTTGGAACCATACTAAATCGCCAATCATACGTTAGCAATTCGTCATCATAGCAGTGGAAAAACCACATGACCAAAATATGATCAAAAACTCACCATAGTTCAGCGACTGGCTCTTCTCCCACTTTCGGCACACACATGCGCAGCGGGCAAGGTCTCGAACCTCTAAGAGTCCGAAAATGCGTTGAGATATCTCAGTCGGGAACGCTCGGAGCGGATCCGAGCTTCTCTCTTTCGACCTGGTCAGGTGGAGTGGACCAGGGACCTTTCTCTTGTTCGCGCCCAGGCGGGTGGGTGATGATGGGCGCGAGGACTGGCGTGATGGAGCCGCGGAGCGCGAAGGCGAACCGGGCATGGACATCTAAAGCCAAAAAAAAGTTAGATGGCACGACACGACAACGGGACGAGGGCGACGCACGACTCCAACGAGTTCATCATCTGAGTCATCCAACGTGGGGTGTCCATTTGTGGGTGAGTTGGGAAGGGAGTCACCATTACCGTTGGATGAAGCAACCGCAAGCTTCGAGTCGATTCTATCGACGCCAAAGGCGTGCGGCCTAAGCACGTCCTGCAATAACGACGACGAGGTCGACATGGTTTTTTTTTTCAAGTCGCGTGTGTGTGTTTGTGTTGTGCAAGAGCGAGATGGTGGTGGTTAGAAAGCAGGAGTGCTGGCGCAACTGTATGCGGATGCAAACTAAACTAATGAACGCTCGAATATTTGAAGTGGCCAAAAGTGGCAGTGTCTGACGTCATCCGGCACCAATCTATGTCTTACTCAGCCGAGATATTCTTTTATCCTTATTATCTTCTGTCTCTCTTTTGCACATCTCACAATAAACCAAAAGGCCAGAAAATGCTAATCGTACAGCATATACAGATATTCTTATTGTAGTGCATTGTAATAATGTACACAGGTTTTGCATGCGAACGTTCGAGACCATTGCTAATGCCTGAGTATTTATTATGTTTACAATTGATTCTTATCCTATAGGGCAGAAACACAGCCTGTCAGCCTTTGCTTCTATGCGGAGACAATTGAAGGAAAAGAGACTTACCAAATAGTAAAATAAAAATAGCACACACACGTCGATAGCCCGAAACGCGAAGGCCATAGAAAAAATTCCGGTCACCCGGTAAGCGAGGTTTTCCCATTTGGCTTCGCCATCCTCACGATCAGCTTGAAATCATGGTTCTCCGAGCACCTGAGGCCAGCAAATACAGTCTTATCTCCTAGCCACCGCCTTATCACACTCTCGCCTGAGTCTTTTCCAGGTCTACTGGTACTCGCCGCAGACGCAAGGCTGCTCTCGCTACTATCCGGCGTGCCCGTCGTCGTCGCCGTCGCAACCGAATGTAAATTGACAATTTCCACCCTCGGGGCTTCCTCCCGGTCTCCCAAGTCACCAAGCAGCATCCTCTTCTTCTCATCGGTGAGTGTAGTGAAGTTGCCAACGAGCATAGGTGCACGTCGGTGCAAGAACGCATCCAGCTCGAACAACACGTCGCGCACGGTAATCGCCTGTGGCCTCTCAACCCGAAATTGTCGTTCACCGTGGTTGAAGCATACAGATTGTAAATCCGGGACTTCGAATATGAGTAAGGTGTGAGCGGGAGTTGTGGCTGGGTCGTCGAGAGATTCGTCTGTTCGTGTCATCCAATCGACGTGTTCAGACATGTCGAGGAAAAGGAGCGAGGAACTTCGGCTGTGAGAGCGTGCCCTCCCGCGGTTTGAGAGTCTGCGTCTGAGTGAACCGATGAATGTCGCGTCAAGCGCGGTGTGTAACTGCATCACAGCAAGGTATTGAGGGCAAACGTAGAGAGGTTAAGTGGGGAGGAAAGTGGTGAAGCAGAAAGCTAGGGCAGTCCAGCGTCCAAGAGGAGAGGACGGGATGCTCGGGTTATAAGTGCTTGGGTTCGCCGAGTCAACAACCGGTTCGACGGTTGCACAGGTATAAAGAGGTGCAGCGGACCAGTATGCCAGTACTCGTCTATATGTATACTCCGAAGGAAACCAGGCCGAGCCCGGCGAGCGATGATGACTGAATGGAAGAACTGAATATCAATTGAATTGGATTGATCATGACGCCTAGGATAGGGCTTAAGAAGTAATCGCCCACCCACAAGCGTATTCATAAGCCACTTGTCCCTTACGCAGCCACTTATCGATACGTCGCTCCATTGATACGTCCGTATACACATTGCGCTATTACAGCACGATGAGCTAAAAGCAGTGCATACACGCAGTCCACATGGGCTTAACTTCTTGTGGCTTGGTTCGCTTGGACTGATCTTGGCCAGATGAGCAGCGATGGAAAGTGGGCCAGATGAGGCCGAGGAAGACATTCAAGATCTAGGGTGCGTATTCTTGTTATCTAGACAAGAAGAACTCAGTTTACAAGAGCAAAAGAGTTAGGAGATCACTCACAACAATCAAGCCATCTACAAGTATTCGAATTCCGAATACTAATATTAATTTCACAGCCTTCCAGTGTAACAGTACCAGCGCCTCATAAATGTACGTCTTCAGGCTCTTCACTTCCGGTCCACGTCCCGAATACGGATGGAACCAATCATATATGCACAGGCGAGCGCATACAATGTGAAGTCGGGGTGTGATACATGTATCCATTACGAGCAACTTGGCGTGGCGTACACATGTCCATGTATGCATCAACTTGACTTCGCCGAGATGAATACAGCATGGCTTATTCATGTACTATGTGGTGCGACCAGTCAGTAAGAGCCGCAGGTTCACTGTGTATAGGTACAAGCTGCGCAATGAGCATTGGGTGGCAGGTACTAGGGTCCGCAGTTAGAGGGCGTTAAGCGAGTCAAGGTGAACGCAGCTGTCAGAACACACATGGACAAGGACAGGAATGTGGATACTCAGATTCAGAACGCGAGTATTGGGTGGGAGACAAACAAATGGAAATGATGCAAAACATAGCTTGCGGATGCGGAGTTATTGAGAAAGACTAATCCATGTCTAATATACTTAGTGTTCGCCTTTATTTCTGTTATTCGGACGCTATTTAACCCCGCTCCCCGCATTCTAATTCTCAATTCTATCAGCCCCATTGCTGCCCCGTTCAAGCTTTGTAGCTCATAAGAGAGATCACGAATCATGATGAGATGTTGTGGAACACAGCGGACCAAGTCCCATAAGAATTAAGCAGGATATTACCCAATTTACCGCTAAAAGCCATCATCCCACGTCTCCAACAACCCAAAGACTTTTCCACTACAACAACATATAATACTGAACAAAGGCTGTGATCCTGGGTCGCTACCATGTCAACGAGTTTTGTAATGATCCATCACGGCCGGCAATTTAAATATCAAGGTCCATCCTAATTAGTTACCGATTCGACAAACTTATTATCCACCGTCGCGGACTCGCAATCAACAGCCGCTGCTTTACATGACATCAGAGCACCAGATTAGCCAATACCTTGAAGTCGATCGACTACTCGCCGAGCTCAAACATCTCAATCTAACTGGGTCTGTTCACTACGATTCTACATGTCCAATAACACAAGGCGGATTTGGCGACATCTTTAAAGGCCGCCGCAGACGGAGAGATGGCATGGAGTGTAATGTTGCTATCAAACGCTTGAGAATTTATCTAGACGGAGGTCGGGATGCTACAAGAGTAAGTAGATTACGATCAAGTGGCTCGCGGCTTAATTTACTTTTCCTTGACAGGTGTTCAGACGTGAGATTAGAGCATGGAGCAAATTGAACCATCCCAACGTCCTCCCTTTGGCCGGCTACATGCTTGAAGAAACTGGTGGATCATCACGCTTGCCGTCTTTGGTTTCCGAATGGATGGAAAATGGTAACATATTAGAGTTTGTCCAGAGCAACCCAGATTGCGATATAAACGGTCTGGTATGTTGTCCATCTGTTTCTGTTTCTCATTTTTTGCTCACAATCTCTCGTAAAAATCTCACAGGCCCTTGGGATGGCAGAAGGCCTCGCGTATCTCCATGCTAATGGAGTTGTACATTCCGACTTCAAATCCGTACGGTTGGTTATACACGAGCACTTTGAATACTACTTACAGGCCGTTAGGGAAACGTGCTCATTTCTTCGACCCGTGAAGCACTAATTAGTGACTTCGGAGCTGCTCACGTCTCTAATGATACTCAGGTAGCTGGCATATCGAGTACGGTGACAGGCACCAGAGGTACTTCCAGATGGTTAGCCTATGAGCTTCTTGCAAACTCGGAGCAATATCAAACGGCTACAATGGAGTCAGACACATGGTCATTTGGAATGACGTTATTGGTAGGGGTTCACCTCGTCAATATTACAGAACATTATCCCTAACATTACCTCCAGGAACTTCTAACAGGCGACCAACCCTATTCGCATCTTAAGCGCGACGGACAAGTTTTGTTTGCAATTACACAGAAGACTCTCCCTTCTCCACCAGCAGACCTCGGAAGCGGAGGCCGGGTGCGACTCTGGGAAATTTGTACTGGGTGCTGGATGTGGGAACCGAGTCAACGTCCCACAATGGCTGCTATTGCTCTCCGGATTAGAATGGAAGTCATAAACGTGCTTCTGCCCGAAGAGTCGAAAATGCCGAGTTCCTCAGATATCTCTCACACTCAATCGAATGTAATACGAATATCTGATATGGATAGCTCGGAGGGATCTAAGACGAAAAAAGGTAACATACTCGGGTTCTTCCGCTCAAGCCTTGCAAAAGCTGCCAAGGGCAAGGCTGCTAGAGATAAGAGCGAAACGAGGCAACCTGACCAAGACCCAAGTGAAGCAACAAGTATTAGTATCAGAATTCCTGTTACTATTGGCACACACTCACCTCCGATGGGAAGCAGTAAAATCAGTGTTGACGCTGCTAGTGGATTGCCGAGCTCTGAGCAACCTGCGATCATTGTTTCCTCTGCTCAGCCTGTGTATCGAGCCAAGGCGCGTTACTCCTGTCAGTACAGCAGATACGTCGAACCTTTCCGAAACCTATGCCCTGACATTGCCTCAAGATAAAGCAGACCCGAATGATCCAAATGAGATTTCATTTGACAAGAATGACATTCTCGAAATCCTTGACAAAAAAGGGAGGTGGTGGCGAGCGAAGAAAGCGGATGGGACTACCGGAAGTAAGTTGAAGCCTTACACGTATTTTTTCCATGCGAAACCGATATGTCTGGATAGTTATACCATCGAATTATCTAATGCTGGATTCCGCTGCTGAACCTTTATGTCGGGCCAAAGCACGCTACGCTCGTCAGTACAACTGATACGTTGTACTTTTTCGAGTCCTGTGCGCTGACATCACTTCAAGATAAAGCAAATCCGAATGACCCGCTTGAGATTTCGTTCGATGAGAATGACATTCTCGAAATCCTTGATAAACAAGGGGAGTGGTGGCAGGCAAAGAAAGCGGACGGGACTATCGGCAGTGAGGAGACTACACGTATTTTTTTCCGCACGAAACTGACATTCTTGAGCAGTTGCACCATCGAATTACCTACTGCTCGATTCCACTACTGAACCTGTGTATCGGGCCAAGACACTCTACGCTTGTCAGTACAGAGATGCGTTATACTTCCGAGGCTTATGCACTGACATCACTCCAAGACAAAGCAGACCCGAATGACCCAAATGAGATTTCATTTGACAAGAATGACATTCTCGAAATCCTTGACAAAAAAGGGAGGTGGTGGCAAGCAAAGAAAGCGGATGGGACTACAGGGAGTAAGTTGAAGCTTTACTCGTATTTCGATACGAAACTAATATGCTTGTGTAGTTGCACCTTCGAACTACCTACAACTCATTTGACCACTGGGGGTGGGGTGGGGGGCATATATTTTGCAGTACTGTACACTCTACTCACCGCCAAGTTATGCTTCTCATATCCCACGTTCACTCTTCTCTTGTTGATTGCTTCTCTTTCATGTGCAATCGTTACAGTGATGCACGGGAAGCAATTCTCTGTCAATCCTGCAGTGTTCTATTCCTTTTCTAGATTGTATGGAGGACCAATGTGGATTCATCCTTGGATAGAGCAACTAATAGGGGTGGCATTCGAAGTGTAAGTACTTCTCTCCCTGTATATACCTAATCAAAGTTGTACAGTACTTGTACTAATAATGATGATAATGGTGCAGCATGTGGAACAACTCTATTGTACTGAGAGGAGGGAAGGGGCCAGAGAAATATGGTAGGCTTAGAATACAATATAAGAGATGCTTGAGGTAATAAATAACAATCAATATATAGCGCTAATACAAATATTTAGTAATGAACACAACACATTATTAGAAGAACAGCTTACACAAGTGTCTGGCTCTGAACTTCAAGCTCTTGCAAAGTAACAATACATACTCACTCTAATAGTCTATACATTATATCATACAGGATATTCATTGCTGGAGTCTTTTACACCATTTTCAAATACATCTACTCTTGCATATACTACACTACAGATTGCTTTCTAACTTCAATTACTTATATCACTACACCAATTATGCTATACTACATTTCTTGTTACTCAATCTGTGATTACACATGCAGTAAAGATTACAGGTTTCCTTTTATTGAGAAAAGGGAAAGAGGTTATGTGAGAGGCTTAGAGGGATCACACAAAGAGGGGGGATAGTGGACTCGGCTTGCTCTCCTTAGCATCATTGTCTGTTGATTCAGTAGGTATATATAATATGTAGCTATGTCTCAGGTACGTCCGTTGCTTATATGTGTCATTCCATATATGTTAACACTCCCCTTCAAACATATATTAGTTTAATAATATGTTTGTTTTGCAACTATTCGTTTATTTGATTTGTAGTTATTTTATTTTTATTTTTAGGGGTAGTTATAGCACTGCTACCACTCCCCTTCAAACATTTATAAGTTGGCCAGACCTATAAGATGTTTGATTTGCAGATTGTTCCAACATTTTTATTAGTATTGTATCTGTATTGTACATTGTGTCTGTATTATATTTGCTTGTGTATTGCATATAATAATATCATTTGTATAATATAAATGTGTTGTTTGTATTGTATATTTTGGTCTACTGTGTTGTTAACTTTGTGTCTTTGTTAGTATTATTTATTAAGTTTTCGTTTGCTTGTTGT